CGCGATGCGAAAAGGTCAATGTTTGGCTTAAAATTAAGCTTTGCACAAGCATTGTGAAACATGTCTTTGTCTAAGCACCACTCCGTGGTACGCCTAGTTTGTCGAGACTCGTAGTCTGCGTCAACATTATCTTTACCAGGTATACGGGCAACTGTGATCCATACATCATTTGCAAAACACCAGTCCCATATAGTTTTGATAAGACTGTTCAGCGTTGGTGAGTGGCTTGTTCCCATTTTATTTAAGGTAATTTGAACAGTAGTATTATCTACTAATACTTTAACATGCTTTGTTGAGACCAGTTTTTTATGTGCTTTGAGGCTAAAAAATACTGCTAGCAACTCTAAATAATTGATATGATATTTGCTCTCTTTCAGAGTCCAAAGTCCTCCTGTTTTAAGATTTTCAATTGCACATCCCCAGCCAATTTTTGAGGCATCAGTGCACATAGTCACATTTGGTTCTGGTTTATAGATCAGATTGTTTGCTGTTTCTATATTATCTGCCCACCATTGCAGTTCAGATTTTGCATTGTTGGATAACTGCATTTGTGTGTCAAAATTATTGTGATTAAGTTTTAGGGCCTGAGCTTTTTCGCCCTCTGTAATTCTAAAATGAAGGGGTCCCTGCATAACCCCTGGAAAGGTAGAGATTAACAGACCAACAACCTGAGCAACCTCTCTTATAAGAGGCATATCCTGAGAAAGAAGGCAAATGACTGCCGACTTCAACTTCTTTGCCTTTCCTGGTGTTAGTGAGACAGTCATTGTTATAGAATTGAGAATGAACCCAAGATACACAATTATTTGCTTTGGCAAAAACACAGATTTATCAGGATGAGGCACAAAATTCAATTTGTCTAACACTGTTACTGTGTCAATGACATTGGATACACACTCTCTATTAGTGCTACCAATCAAGATGGAATCATCAATATATGGTGATGAAATATGTCCCTTGTTTCTTAAGAATGAGTATACTGGTTTTAATAACTTTGTAAACTTTCTAGGGGCAAGAGCTAGCCCATTGGGGAGGCAAGTAAATTTATACAATACCCCATTCCAGCAGAATTTTAAATATTTTTGGTGCTTGGCACTTACACGCACTGAATAGTAGGCGTCTTTTAGATCTACAGATGCCATATAGCACTGAGGCTTCATAAGCCTAATGGCATTCCAAATGGAATCCATTTTGAAATGCCGGTAAACTACATGTTTATTCAAACTTTTTAGATTTAAAATCATCCTGTATGACCCATCAGGTTTGGGTCTTACAAAGATTGGTGAGATGAATTCATGTTCTTCATGTGCAGAGTGAACAATGACGCCTTTGTTTAAAAGCTTTTTAATTTCCAGTTCAATAACAAGTTGCTCAGCTCTGGAAAATATGTTCGCTTTTGGTGCCTTAAGTTGATGAGGTAAGGAAGAAAATTCTATTTCTTCCCCCATGACTGTCTGTAAAACTTCCGAATCAGAAGTGAGTTTGCGCCACTCACAAAGTTTGTGACTTAATTGGCCAGCTTGAAAGTTATCTACTCGGTTAGTAAAATATTCCACCAATGATGGAAGGTCTGTCTGAAAATTACTAACCTGTAAATTTTTTAAAACTGTCGCCTCTCTTTCTTTCTCCATAGTCATTGGTTCTGTTGATGCTTGGGTGCTGGGTTCTTCTTGGTTTGAAAACTGGATCTTGGTGGGTGCTGTTTCCACTGCCGGCTGTGGGATAAAAAATGCCCCCTTGTTGCCTTACTTCCAGAGCTGGAGTTACATGGCCAGAAAATTCGGACATATTTAACATTCTACTTCCGCCTAAATTTGCATATGGTGTCAAAATAAAGCTTCGTGAGTTTATAGTAAACTGTAATGTGCACAGAACTAAACGCTAAAAATACACCTTTAGGTAGGTCAATTATAATTTGCCTTAATTGCTCGTTGCAGAGCAAGTTAATCTTAATATTTTTATACAGTATTTCAAAATGTTTTATCAGTATTCGTCCTGCATTTTCAAAACAAAGTTTTGGTCATTTATCACGTTGAATACCATATAAAACGAAAACCGTAATAGCGTAGAAATAAAATAAAAATGCAGAGCCGACATAAACCTTTGCCAGCAAAATATTACCTCAGGATCTTCAATATGACACGAGTTACAAGAAACAACCAGGGCAAATAGCAAAGATGCAATGATTTTCTTAAATTTTGCAAAATTTAAGAATGCGCAATATAATTTATAGTTCTGCAAACGAATAATATTTGAACAGATATGCAAATTTGCTACGGCAATCTGCATATTCCATGTCCGCAATTTCTGGCCATGGTAGCACCCCAGTGGCGGCCATATGGTTTGGGTTTATCAAACCGATGTGGCACTGTTACTTTACTAATTTTGTTGGAAGCTCGGATGTCATTGAGCTGTGTTTGGAGGTTATCTCCAAACAAATACGTTGTGATTGGCACATGTGAAGCACAGAGGCTACTATAATCTTTATGTAGATTTGGTTTGATAGCGTCGCGTCGACGCATAGAGAGGTCGCACATGGTGTGCCCTAATAATGCCAAAGCGTCGGTATTCATCGTAATAATCTGGGCAATATCAGGCGAATCATCATGACGCATTTGCAATAATTTATCAGTCGTCATTGAAAGTATCGAGCCGACTTTGGCTAGCAATTTTTGTGTGGTGGAAGCACGGAGGTCATTATGCTTAGTTTTATTATCAAGCTTGTCCCATATTTCTGCATTGACGCGAGGGACAACAATCTTTTCACAATTCCCTGGTCGAGGGTATTTATCCATTTTTTCCCTCTGTTTTGCGTCAATAAGCTTCGTGGACCATCTTTTGTTGACAATATCAGCAAGTTGCTGATTTATATTGCCTCCAACCTCCTCTTCTTGTTCCAAATCCTGAGAGATTTCTGTCAGGAGAGCGTCATGCTCGAGTCGAACATGTGTATCACTCATTACACCCTCATTTGCCGAGTCGGCATCGGGTTCATTGTTTCGAAGCAATCCCTCTGCATCACTAATGTTACCGTCCGTTTCTGTTATATTTTGGGAGGCTGAACGTCGCTTTTTCTTTGGTCCACCATTTGTATCAGAGGTTTCGCTCGGTTGTAGTCGCTTGATGGATTTTTCCATGTTGAGCATGGCTGTGGATATGGTCTCCAATGTTTTTCCCAATCCAGATAACACTTTTGGCATCGATTCTTCTTCCGACACCGCTGTTTCTTTCTCTTCTAGTAATGCCATTTCCAATTCGTCGCCAGAAGACATAATATCAGTAAATTTTCGTGAATTTATTTAAATTTCTCCGCTTCGTTTGCATAAAACAACCGCTCGCTCGAAAAACTACGCGGGCAACTGACTGCTCGATCTGCGTGCGCATATCTCACATGACTCCTTAGTGACGTAGTCCAAGGACGAAATAGAATTGCAAGATTTAAATGGTAAGTGATTATTTATTCCAAATAATGATAACAAATAAATATTATTGAGTTCAGCTGCTTGTAATATGACGGTATCTTTTACTGTTAAACGCAGTCCAACAACCGAAAAATTCACGAAAACTTTCGGTGATCAGAGAAAAAAATGAACAAAATATTGGCGAAACTTACGAGCGCATTTTTTGAAAACTATGTTTTCTGTCCGGTGAGGTCGTTTGAGGTTATTAAACACACACTAGGTTTTGGACAATGTTACGAGGTATACAAAATATATAAAATTGAAAGGGGCTTTTGGGGGCTTTTTGAATTATCAAAGCGAGAAGTCGATAAACTTTTTTTAGACCAGCGACCCGGAAAAATACTCATTACAACAGTTTGCACTAACATTGTATACTGACAACGTAACAGATTATTATTCACTAGAACACATGCATAAATAGATATAAAGCCTGAGTTTACCAAGCAAAAGATGCATAAATAGTAAGAAAGGTATACGGATACTGATAATATAATTTATCCTGTATTACCTGCAAAGAAACGGCGGCTATTCATATGTATAGAAATTAAATCTTTTGTTTACTATAATCACTCGACCGAATGTTCAGCTACGTCAAGTGCAATTAAACTCACGTAAAAATAAATTTTTGCCTTTGAATGTCAGAATTATAGCTAATAAGTAAAATGAAAGACTATAAAGTAGCCTAACCTGCTAACTTAGACACAAAATATGTCTTTTTCGAAAGAGCATACTCAAACAACTACAGTAGAGCTTGTTATTTGTCTAGTTGCCATCTCATGATTGCTAAAATATGAACCTCGTAGATTGTGAAATGTTGTTACGTGCAATATCCAGGGAAGAACGACTTCAATTTCTTGGAAAAAGTATTTTACTGAGGCCAATTGAAGTAGATTACTTTGATATAGCATAACCGAAAGTCGGTGAACAGTTTAAGCAGGATAGTATTTTGGAATTGCGCGCTCACGTTGTCCGCTGTATAATTACATCGCTGGCTGCAAACTAAATTGTCAAGTAAACTTGTTGGCACGTTCACATGAGCAAATAAACTCGTCAAAGAAAAACTTGTAATAGAAAATATTTTGTTATACACGCGTGCAATTGCCAATAAAAACTTGTCATATAAAAACTTATCATAGAAAACTTGCTCGTCTGTAAGAGGCTTAATATGAACGACCCAGAATAGTTAATACTGACGATTGGGTAATTGATTATTTTTATTTCGCTACGTAGCGATGTTGCATAAAAGTATATCAAATGTGGTTTATCTCATGGGGGAAACATCAACCTTATAATTATAATAAAACTGATATAAATGATCAATAATTCCAAGTCGCACTTTTTACGTACCAAATATTGTCGTTACAAAAATTTAATCATTGCATGCATCAAAGTTCAAAAAATTGTATTTTTGTCCATTTTGATTACAGAATATATGTAGTATTTAAAACACGAGTAGGAGTGTTTTATGCGGTATAAAACGCGAGGCGCAGCCGAGCGGTTTATAGCGCATAAAACACGAGCTACAAGTACGAAGCTTATTTCCAGAAGCCGTTGTTAATCTGTGGATTTTGTCAAGTCCGAGCCAGAATTCTCCGTTCAAATCACCAAAGCCGTGTTTATAATCTTTCCATCCTCGGTAGAAGTCAACACTGCCATCACGGCGACGTTGAAACACCGTCCATCCTCCACCAGATGTCGTCATATCACAGCGAACATTGAAACTGCCCTTGCCGTCTGGGTCAATCTTGTAAACTCCATTCTGTCTTATACCTTTGTTGTACAAATCAGCGCAGTTCTTACCTATAATAACGAGGTGTCAATCACCGCAGATGTTAAAAAACCTAAATAATCCGGGCGTATTTTGCAACAACATATTTCTGAACTATGCCAGAGTGATGACTATATTATAAAGGTCCCCAGTATGAACACGCATTACCGCATTGGTCGAGATTAATTAGCTGTTTTGAGTTTTACCTTCAGACAATTAAGAGCCTTAACTAAATTAGCTGTATACTCACCGAAAGGTCCCTCGTATTTATTTATTTATTTATTTATTATGCTTTGCCACTTGAATACAAGATACAATATTACAAACACGAACAGCACAAAATTAATACAAATGCATGAATATTCACAATAATCGAGGCAGGGTATTGCTACAGCTCACACTAATTACAGCAGCCCTTTCAAAACAAATAAAACAGACATCATACAATCTCCACACAATATATAGTTCACACTCAGGAAAATCTTCCTCGTGATAGGAGCAGAATAGAATAGTACTTCGAGAGTAAAATGACTGCTCACATCCCACAGGAAGATCCACCTGTGAGGAAACTTGTAACAATGCTGGACAAAACGAACACGAGGACACACATATGAATTAACAGCAGCATGAGTTAGAATTAGACAAATTACGGGACGCGTTACAAGACAAACAAACAGACTTCCAAGTTCTAGGATTTTCGGCGTCATATATATATTCAAGGCCGAATGGTAATAGTAATAAAGATCGTTTTTGAACCAACAAAGGCTTATGTTCTTCGTTGTCAGCCCTTTTGGAAGAACATTCCATACTCTTGCGCACCTAGAAAAGAATGACTTCTGGAATGTTACAGTCTTGCACTTTGGTGTGATGAACGTCAAACACGCGGGGTTGGCTGATCGTGTTGATTTCTCCCGGTTCTTAATTGATGGTAGAACACTATCTTTAACTTTTATCATCCCATTGATGCATTTAAAGTAGAACACCAGATCCAAAAATTCGTGCCAATAGCAGAGTGGAATAACGTCTAACATTTCGAGTCGCTTACTGTAGGTAATGTCGCAGATAAATGGTAGATCCAAAATATACTTGCTCGCGCGCCTCTGAATTCTCTCCGTCCGTTTAATCAGTTCCACAGTTTGTGGCGCCCAGACTTGAGATGCATAGCATAGCTTTGAAGTTAAATACAGAGTACGACGAACCAAGATAGATTTTATATCCAGTGTAGACCTCCTAACGTATCCGAGCATTCTCGTTGATTGAGCACATTGGTCTTCAACATGTTTGGACCAAGTCAAATTGGAAGAAGTCCATACTCCTAAATCACGCTCTTACACGCACGTATAATCTCAACTCAGTAGAGCATGTATATTAAATGTTCCTCTATATGACAATCATTATTATTGCATATAAAAAGTTGTTTTGAACAAAAAGCTTTTGAATAAAATTGCACCATGACAGTTTGGAGTTTTACATTATACGACTATGAATTATGGTATTATCTAGATCGTGGAAGTGTAATTTATTTATGATATAAATATAATATAAATATTTCTGAAATTGAAAGAACCCTTAAAAAATTAATCAGGGATTAACGTGTACCTACATTTTTCACATTTATAAGTATTTTAGATCTTGTTGAAAAATCGCGTGTTGTCTGACCTTTCAGTGTATTAGGATCAGTGATGCAGACGACTGATTTCCTCATTGTTTCCTTTAGTTCCAGTAAGATCTCAGATTTCATTTTCGACAACATTGTCTTTATTTCCATTACGTCCGATTTACGAGCCCAATTTTGAGTCGCAGTTGCGCTAAAATTAATGTAATTTCATTTTCAATAAAATTCAATGAAACTTCCATAGGCTACCATTCATGGCTACCATGAATTTCTCTAACGCGTCGAACTCAAAAACCTGCTACACTCGCCTGTATATTCAATATCCTTATGTATGTGGCGGTAAAGCAAAACATCGTCAAAATGAAACTCATCATCAGATCAAATCATCGTCCGAATCAAATCATCAAAAAAATTCAATTAGTTTAGGATTTGTAGTTCCTAATAATAATGTTGTTTCACGATCTCAGTAAGCAGCCTGGAGAATTATTCTTATTTTTAGGTGAAACTCGATAATCGATTATCGATTTGCAATCTCTCATCTAACGAATTAGTTGCTACGTAGACGTAGCCGTACTCTTATATAGTCGCTGCTAATGCTCCCTATTAAAGTTGCAAGTATATAACGTCCAAAGCGTTACAAAACTGTTTTCATTCATCTAAATTTTCAGACGATTTTGCACATCACGTCGTTTTCTTTCGTCCCTAGCGGGTTGGCAGTCACTTCGCGAGAGTAATTTTAATTGATTTTTTTTTAAATTTCTCAAGTCTCAAATGGGATGATTCATTAGACGCATGAAAGATTTATCAAGAAAAATTGCAGGTGTGCTCAGATTGCCTTTGCAATTTTCTTTCCCTGTTTTAATCCGATTTCTCAAATTCAGGTTTATATATCTTTATATAGCAGTTAAGCGGACAATCTCGGAGGTATTTAAGTGCGTTTTCTTTCGACGGTATATTTTCTAAAGAACGATCGATAATTATACTACATATACATCCTTTTTTGACGAACTATATATGGCTATTTATGCAGTCAGGGCCTATAGAAGCTTATATAATTGAGGGGAAAATATTGATGTATTCGGCTTATTACAATTGTACATAAAGAGCGCACGCCGTGCTGTGTGTCACATCTATTAATCTGTTTAATGTGTAATAAACGCGTGAAATGACCTAATATTATATAGCTGGCTTGTTGCAGGAGGTCTTACCTGTGCATTCCGTAGAGGAAGCAAAAACAGAGGAAGAACGAACGTGATTTTAACATCATCAAACCCTCGAGTTTCTTTTCCTGCATTTGAAAGCAAACAAACGTTGATCATATCTGACAGGTCTACTATGTATGATTTTCTCTTCCGTAAATATTCCTTGTCTAACTCAGAATCAACTAAGTCGTGGATAGAAAGTCATAGTTTTATCAGGCTTTCGTACAGCCAGTTCCCGTACACAGGGAAGAATTTTATCAGCCAGTTCCCGTACACAGGGAAGAATTTTATTCTGGTACTGGATGTACTATTAGTATTGACTTTATGCTTACCTTTACTGATTTGTTATCAAGTCAACAGTCTAAGATTAACTGAAGCTTTTGAAACCGCAGTAGTATTTACGTGCAAACATATCTAGTGACGATTGCTGAAACGGAAATTGATTAAATATATCAAATTTGCTTGGAACGTTAAAGCACAATTAAAGATTTAAAGGAGTCCAATTTCATCCCATTCTTGATGAATCCTTGATGACAAATTTAAAAAACATGCGTAACTATTTACCTTTTTGGCTCACAAAAGAAGCAAAATCAGCCGAGTCGCTTCGTTTGTTTAATTAAATCAATTGTTGTTGGACACTGAAACGCATCCTACTTATATCCATATGCATATAATTTATCTGTGTGAAACTGTCTGTGTGTAATTGTCCTGTTTGGTAGTCCTATTACTTGTTTTTAATATTTAAACACGCCCCTCATGGAAACCAGCCTAGAGTTGATGGTGCTAGCGTGTTTCTTAGTTTTAAATAATTATAATAAAATTAATATAAATGATCAATAATTAATTCCAAGTTGCACTTTTTACGTATCAAATATTTTGGTGACAAAAATTTGTTAATCATACTAAAGTTCAAAAAATTGTATTTTTGTCCATTTTAATTAGAGAAGATATATAGTTATAAAAGAACGAATAAAGTCGTGGAATGAATGCCAAAAATCCTACCCGTGGTTAAAAAATGAACCCGCCTCTACACGCTGTCGACTTGTTAACTTTTGGTATCAGATCATATCTTACCATCGACATCATCGTCACGTCATCGATCGTTCTGTTTGGCAGCATTTTTACCCCATGGATAACTTGAGACTGTCCCAGTATTGTATATCTAAAGGCCGATATAAAGGCGCTTGCTCAGGGGGTTACGTTACATACTGTATATTACTATATAATGATTTTGTATTGCAGAGTAATCGTATATTGTGGCCCGCATTATGTGGGGAAAGACAGCAACTTTTTTGCTATGTACACCTGCTGTCTTTTGGATTGTCTATGTTTTCAACCATACGAGAAGGTGTTGGATGGATGGTACAGAATATCCGTTTGCTAAATGGTAAGACACAAGGTATAGAATGTGGATACTAGGTGGGGGAGGGAGTATATTAATATTTTGATGTTTATACTGTTGGACCAATATTTTTTCCAAATAAATCCGTTTGGGAGAAAGAAAATATATGATCATGTTATAGATACACGGTATGACGTCATTAATGATAAGAATTGAAAAAGTGACCAAGAGACGCCGATGCGAGTATATAGTTTTGTAAACAGTTATTGTGACACCTATCCTGCTCATTAATTTCATTGTGAAACCTTAAGGGTTATGGATGGGCTGCAAGCTTGGTACCAAGTCGCTTTTTGATGACATATTAATACAATAATTAAGTGTTCTAGGTCACATTCCGGTGATTTAGTAGGCGAAATTATACGGACACACACAAGGCCATTAAATATTGTTTAATTAGGGAAAATAATTAATTAGGAAAAAGAATCAACAGTTGGAGAACTGACACATGTTAACTAAATTTCAAAAATCAAGTTTTGGTTTTTACATATTTGTTTAATTGTTTAATAATAATGAGAAGTGCCGGTTATGTTTGTTCTTATTTTTTCAGTCCAGCTGCTCGAGAATGGATTTTCATCGATGTTGATTTCAAGGAATAATGATACCCTTTCCACGCTTGCCAGTTGACACCAGTAGCATATGAGTTGTGTGCACCATGATGATACAGACCATTGAGATTTGATGTATGGCAAGCATTATACCACCAACCACCCTTGTATGCGACAGCACAGTGCTTGGTATGTGCGTCATTGTCGGAATCTTTTGTTGAAAACGACATTCCTTTGTGAGCAGAGAAGGAATCTCCTGCATTGCCTGAATAAAACAGAAAAGAAATGTAGCATTTGGCATATCTGGTAGCGCTTTAGGCGGCAATCATGACACGATATTTCCAATTGAAACTCGTAACCACGCCCAAGAACGGTTCTACCATGGTGTTCAATAACAGCGTTCTGCTTAACATAGAACTAGATAATTAAGAATATACACTACCAGAATAAGTCCCAAGACTAAGTTGATATTTCTGACGCTCGCTGGTCAAAGCAAATAAACCATATTCTGCGTACTTTCTGTGCCCAGAAGTGTCTTCCATGTCGATACGAAGCTTATTTCCAGAAGCCGTTGTTAATCTGTGGATTTTGTCAAGTCCGAGCCAGAATTCTCCGTTCAAATCACCAAAACCATGCTTATAATCTTGCCATCCTCGGTAGAAATCAACACTGCCATCGCGGCGACGTTGAAACACCGTCCATCCTCCACCAGATGTCGTCATATCACAGCGAACATTGAAACTGCCCTTGCCGTCTGGATCAATCTTGTAAACTCCATTCTGTCTGATACCTTTGTTGTACAAATCAGCGCAGTTCTTACCTATAATAGTGAGGTGTCAATCACCGCAGACCTTAAAAAACCTAATATGAACACGCATGACCGCATTGATACCCCATGCAAGGGCATTTTCAGTCATAGAGATCGAGATTAATTAGCTGTTTTGAGTTTTACCTTCAGACAATGGCCTTAACTAAATTAGCTGTATACTTAGCGCAAGGTGCCTCGTATAACCTCTATCTCAGCAGTGCATGTATATTCACTGTTCCTCTATATTACGATCATTATTGCACATACAAAATTGTTTTGAACTAAAAGCTTTTGAGTAAAATTGACCATAACAAAAAAGATGGCGGATGTACATTTTACTAGAATGCATTGCGGTCGGAAATCGTATAAAAAAGCGAACTGACGTCTTGTAAAGGACAGGCATAAAAACAGGAGGTTATTTTCTTCACTGTGTTAAAATTTCACGTCATTATGAGTTTTTCTTGCCATCTTTTTTCAGTCAAATTATTCTTAATGCCCGCAATGCATTCTGGTAAAATGGACACGCCGCCATCTTTTTCGTTACGGTCAATTGCACAATGACAGTTTGGCATATTAATACGACCATGAATTTTGGTATCATCCGGCTTAGATCGTGGAAGTGTAATCTATTTAGTGATATAAATATAATATAAATATTTCTGAAATTGAAAGAACCCTTAAAAAATTAATCAGGGATTAACGTGTACCTACATTGTTCACATTTATATAAGTATTTTAGATCTTGTTGAAAAATCGCGTGCTGTCTGACCTTTCAGTGTATTAGGATCATTGATACAGACGACTGATTTCTGTTTCCTTTAGTTCCAGTAAGATCTCAGATTTCATTTTCGACAACATTGTCTTTATTTCCATTACGTCCGATTTACGAGCCCAATTTTGAGTCGCAGTGGCGCTAAAATTAATGTAATTTCATTTTCAATAAAATTCAATGAAACTTCCATAGGCTACCATTCATGGCTACAATGAATTTCTCTAACGCGTCGAACTCAAAAACCTGCTACACTCGTCTGTATATTCAATATCCTTATGTATGTGGCGGTAAAGCAAAACATCGTCAAAATGAAACTCATCATCAGATCAAATCATCGTCAGAATCAAATCATCAAAAAGAATAAATTAGTTTAAGATTTGTAGTTCCCTAATAATATTGTTTCAGGATCTCAGTAAGCAGCCTGGAGAATTATTCCTATTTTTAGTGAAACTCGATAATCGATTATCGATTTGCAATCTCTCATCTAACGAATTAGTTGCTACGTAGACGTAGCCGTACTCTTATATAGTCGCTGCTAATGCTCCCTATTAAAGTTGCAAGTATATACGCCGTGCTGTGTGTCACATCCTTAATAATCTATTTAATGTGTAATAAACGCGTGAAATGACCTAATATAGCTGGCTGGTTGCAGGACGTCTTACCTGTGCATTCCGCAGAGGAAGCAAAAACAGAGGAAGAACGAACGTGATTTTAACATCATCAAACCCTCGAGTTTCTTTTCCTGCATTTGAAAGCAAACAAACGTTGATCATATCTGACAGGTCTACTATGCATGATTTTCTCTTCCGTAAATATTCCTTGTCTAACTCAGAATCAATTATAAGTCGTGGATAAAAAGTCATAGCTTTATCAGGCTTTCGTACAGCCAGTTCCCGTACACAGGGAAGAATTTTATTCTGGTAAACCATGTACTATTAGTATTGACTTTATGCTTACCTTTACTGATTTGTTATTAAGTCAACAGTCTAAGATTAACTGAAGCTTATTGAAACCGCACCGTATTTACGTGCAAACATATATCTAGTGACGATTGCTGAAACGGAAATTGATTGAATAGCTTAAATTTCCGTGGAACGTCACACCACAATTAAAGGAGTCCAAAGAGCAATGGCTACTCGTTTAGCCGGAGAAATAGCATCTCGAAAAGCAGTGTTTCTTTTTAAAATTTCCGGCTCAACCAACTCAACAAGTCGCAAGAACGTTGGTTTCTGCATGCGAAAATGTTCTTTCCAGTATCGTGATTGACGCTCGTCTTGAAGGATCACTTCAAACCATCCAACAGACTCTCGGCCTTGGAATAACCCAAAACTCACGATCAAGTCTAGGGTTTACCATTCTGGCGACTGCGAGGAGAAGCAATGTTGTGGTCGTCTGAAGTATCTGTACTCGTCGCATGTCTTGCTTCATTTGATGAAGCAAAAGGTGCATGCGACGTCGTCTGCGATTAAGCGCCCTTCGCTTTCTATCATTGCGAAGCCGTTGGTACATAAAGTAAAGTATTGAGAGCAAAGAATCTCTCTCCATCTTTAGGTTTCAATTTATCAATTACAGAATATTCTAAAATGGCGCGTAATTTAGCCTGCGTGCAGTCCCAGACTTCCAAAGGAAGAAGGAAGTCTGGGACTGCACGCAGGCTACGCGTAATTTGAACTTGGCAAGAATACCAAAGATAATTTATCTGTGATTACAATCTTAAGCAAGCATAAGTACTTTTTCAGTGTGACCGCGACGTGCTTGCTTAACATTCTAGCACTTGCTTGGATTTAAATAAGGTTTTACGGTTTTACCTACCTACCTACCTACCTACTTTTGGTTTCGAAACGGAAGGTCGTTCAAGTTGTTATTTTGTAAAAGACCTTCTGGCAAAAACAAGTTGTTATTTTCCGTTTCAGCGCAAAGATTTACATCAAATGCGTAAATTTGGTTAGCAAATGCGCAATGCGGTTGCCTTGCCTAGCCACGCTATGTCCGTCGCAAAAAGACACCGCGTTTCTATGTTTTCGAAATCCGGTTCATTCCACACAAAAACAGCCTACCTAGCTTAGGTTATTCATTCTACGTTGATTCTCGAATGTGGACGCTTGTATTAAAGAAGCAAAGGTTTATGCTACAATTCTATTCGCATTGTAAGACAAAAATTCTATCTTTATTCTACCTCGATCAAAGCTATATCTACGCGCATGATAGTTAAAGTTGGTGCATCTGCAAACCAAATTCGAACCGACGTAATATTCTCAATCGACTTATTCGACCCAAACCTGTATATATCCTGTTAATAAATTATCAAAATTCCTACGTCGAGTTCGTTTCATTCTACGCACCGCGTCTACCCCTGTAGATTTATTGGGAACTCGTTGACATTGAATTTCTGTCCCAGTAAAGCTACACTTACCTTATTCCTGTGGGTAAAAGCCTCTTTGTGATCGTTTAACGTTCCGAGAGAATTCCAATGTAACACTCTTTTGTAACCAATCTTTTGTATTTGTGTCTCCTAATTCGTATCCACCGCTACCAATCTCTACAAGAGTTTATTTTGGTATGGCTATATAACATTGGAATGAATGCACGCCAAAAATCCCGCAATCATTAAAAGGTTTTTGCAAGAAGCCGTGGCTTCCTGTCTATGATATTCACGTAATTCTTTCAGTACGTAGCAATGCCGCGTGAAAGTGCTTCATGTGGAGTGTCTCGTGGAGAGGCACCATCATTCCTATAATTATAATAAAATTAATATAAATGATCAATAATTAATTCCAAGTTGCACTTTTTACGTATCAAATATTGCGGCAGGGCCGTAGCTAGAAGCTTAATTGGGGGGTGCATATTCATTTATTCGTCTTATGCCTGACTGATTTCTTTTGTACGCTAATGTTTTCTACCGTATATAAACATGAATATATGAATATATCCCCCCCCCGAACTAAGCGGTCTGGCTACGGCCCTTGATTGTGGTGACAAAAATTTAATAATTACAACATTTTTGTCCATTTTAATTGCAGAAGATATCGGTTATAAAAGAACAAATAAAGTCGTGAAATGAATGCTAAAAATCATACCCGTGGTTAAAAAATGAACCCGCTGCTACGCAGTCGGCTTGTTACCCTTTGTTATCAGACCACACCCGAACATCGAGTTAGGGGGTTAGGTTACATACTGCATGTATATTACTTTAATCATACTGATTTTGTATTGCAGACTTGCATTAATCGTTTATTGTGGCTTGCATCATGTGGGGAAAGACAACAACTTTTATGCTATGTAGACCTGCTGTATGTAAAAAGGCTAGTACAACTTAAATATGTTTGCCAGCAGCGTCTTAAATAATATTGATTAGTTTCAACCATGCGAGAAGGTGTTGGATGATACAGAATCTGCTTTTGTTAAATGGTAAGACAAGATATATAATATCTTTTAATAAGCATTTATGGTACTGGTTAACCGGGCATATTAATATTTTCATGTTTATATATTGTTCGAACAATATCTTTCCAAAGAGATCCGTTTGGGAGAAAGAAAATATATGATCATGCACCCCTCCCCCCCCCTCCCAATTAATCTTCTAGTTATAGTCCTGGTAATTAGTTACTCTATTTACGGGACACTTTTGAGATTCAGATGCTAGCTTGAAAGTTAAAACAGGTGTGAGGTGTCCGCTTGAAAGAAATTTTGCTCAACAGGATTTTGCAAATACCACATTTTCGGATCTGTCGTGGTATTTGCCCATATAGTAAGGTTGCACCGCGTATAATATCACTTGCATTATCATTGCATTATGATTCATGATATGCTCTTTTCTTCGCGCTAGTGGAAGAAATTTAACAAATAGATAACATTGAACAGTTGTCTGTTCAGTTATAGATACACAGTATGACGTCATTTGTGATGAGTACTAAAAAAGTGTCCAGGAGTCGCCGATGCGAGTATACAGTTTTGTAAACAGTTATTGTGACACCTGATCGATAATTTTATTGTTAAACCTTAACTGCGCAAGCTTGGTACCAAGTCGCTTTTTGGTGACAAATTAATAAAATAATTAATTGGTCCTGGTCGCAACCCGGTAATTTTGTGGGCAAAATTATATAGACGCACAAATGCATTAAATATTCTTTAATTAAGGAAAAGAATCAACTAACACATGTTAACTAAATTTCAAAAATCAAGTTTTTGTTTTACATATTCGTTTAATTGTTCAATAATAATGAGGAGTGCGGGTTATGTTTGTTCTTATTTTTTCACTCCAAATGCTCGCGGACGAATTTTCATCGATGTTGATTTCAAGGAATAGCGAAGCCTTTTCCACGCATACCAGTTGATACCATCACCATATGACTTGTGTGCACCATGATGATACAGACCATTGAGATTTGATAAATGGCATTCACCATACCACCAACCACCTTTGAACATAACAGCACAGTTGCCGCTAGATAAATCATTGTCGGAATCTTTTGTTGTAAACGACATTCCTTTGTGATAAGTGAAGGAATCTCCTGCATTCCCTGAATAAAACAGAAAAGAAATGTAACATTCGGCGTATCTAGTAGCGCTTTAGGTGGCAGTCATGACACGATATTTCCAATTAGAACTCGTAACCGCGCCCAAGAACCGTTCTACCTGGTTTTCAATAACAGCGTTCTGCTTAACATGCATAAGACATATTATTTTGATTCAATGGCGTGACATAACCCTATTTGACAATTTACTCGCCATTCTGACTACGTCTTTGAATTTCTTGCTGAACGGCGTTGCCATGCACAGCTTGCAGCGCACCTTCCCCTGGCTATTGAATTTATTTGGAACCCTATGCCTTGTATTACAAAATACAATTCCTTGTGCAGCAAGTTAATAGGTTCTCAAATTATATTCGTATCCTTCTTGCACAAAATGGCACTGTGTAAAAATCATGCCTGGTAAAACGTATGTTAATTAAGCATTTGAAATAAACGACAAAATTTTTAATTGCAAGCATGTTTCGACTTAACTATAAGCCATCTTCATGCGAATGAATTAGTTATTTAGGTTATAAAATAATATATAAAGTAGAAACAAGATACAGGAGAGGTGATACTCGATGAATAACATAATTATTTACAACATTGATTGACAACATAACAGGATACAAAATATGCATAATAAGTAGAAAAACACGAAAGACAAAAATTATAACTGAAAAATAGTCTTAAAAAGTTGAACCTGTTTATTGAGGTCTGCATGGTTTGCAAATGCACAGAGCCTCCTTGAGTTTTAGAGGGATGGTACTGTTAGCAGTGTCTAGGATAGTGAAGCAAGAACGGGTGTATTTCGATTTGCAGTTAGGGTTTGTAGGTGTTTGTAGACATTTGAGTTTTTGTCAGTGAAAGTGTGTTCTTTGATCCTTGTGGCGAGATGACGGGTGGTTTCATCAATGTAACAGGAATTACACACTGCGCAAGTAAAGATGTTTCATTGACATAACGTCGGTAGAAAAGAGGCTTATTTCCGATGTAATTACTAATCCAATTTCTTTCGTGGTGGCCATTGATAAGATTGGCCAGAAGTTTTGCATGTTTGAAAATGAAATTGTCGCTAAAATATTTTTCGATTATCTAAATTCTTGCCATAAGAATATTAGGTTTACTTTCGAAACGGAACAAATTTCTTTCCTTGATATACCTATTAAGAAATCTCCCACTACATTTTTGACTTCAGTTATCAAAAGAAAACTTACACCGGCCTTTTGATCAACTTTTTTACCTTTACGTAATTTCGGCATAAATCGGGTCTCAAACACTTATAGATCGCATTTACAAAATTAATAACACCGAAGATGGCCTCAACAACGATCTTAAAGAACTTAAACTAACACACACTTCAACGCAATTCGTTCCCACAACATCTGGTTGAACGCATCATTAGTTCTTACAATAACAGGAATACCTCACAAACAACAAACACCCTCAACACCAATCTACCTAGTCAACAGCAACCCAACGTTCATTACTTCAAATTCCCATACAGTGGCGTAGCCGGCCTGACGATTTTCATAAAGCTAGTGTTCACTTCCCACAAAATCAAAAACGTTTTTGTTTTATAAGGACATGCACGTCAACCCCTAGTGATCTTAAATCCCTCTTGATATATAAATTTACTTGCGCAAGATCCAGTTCCATCTCTCTCAAGCTTAAAAAGGTTTTGTACATTCGCAAACACAAGCGAGACCTTAACAAACAGGTTCAACATTTTAATACCATTTTTCAGTTATAATTCTTGTCTGTCGTGTTGTTCTACTTATTATGCATATCTTGTATCCTGTTAT